CTTAAAAAATAGTCCAAAATTTTGTCCAAGAAATAGTCCAATGGTCCAGTCCATATTTTACCCTATGCCAAGGATGCCTTATCGCATTTTAAGGATCAGTTCTGGAATATTATGATGCACGTGGCGCCAATTATGGACAATGATGTCGTATTGAGGAAAATTTGCTCCGGGGATTTAGCTTCTGTCCGTGATAGCGAGGTGTCCGCAATGCTGGAGTTGACTGTAGTGCGAAAGATAATAGAACGACTCATCGCGGTGTGAATTTCGCCGTCGCCCCCAATAAACAAGATTTATCTTCGACTGAAAGGAGGCTAGAAAACGAAAAAAAAATTTTGTGTCGTTAATAAATCAGTGTAAAATGGGGTTCACGAGCCTACACAACTCCTACAGATCGTGACATTTTGTGCATTTGTTTTAATTTTCGGTCTCTCAATAGCCCGTGAACACGCCCTCTAGTCGAGGATGGGGCAAAGAGAAAGTGGGAAGAAAAAGGAAAGAAGAGAGAGAGACAAGGGGAGTGCACAGTTCTCAATGCGACTTTTTTTTTTACCAAATTTCGACCTATAGTGGTCCACTTTTCCGTAGCAAATAATTTATAACATCATTTAAACATAAGTTTTCTGTAGATCGGATGTGGTAAAAAAGGAAAAAGGGACAATGGAAAGTGGTTAGACAGTTGTGTTGGAAGCGAACGAGATTGCTGAAAAATCGTTGTTATTGGAATAAGACGTGAATATCTATCTTATCGTCTCTTTAGTTGAGTATAATGGTCTAGAAGACGAACAATTCTTGAAACGTGGCTATTCTGAGCGTATTGTCAAGGTTTTTGTTTTCTTCAAGGTTTTTATCAATATTGACAGGGGGGGACAGGGGTAGGGGGGCTTACGCGGTCTTGGTCTTAAAAGAGGCTGCCTGTGAAGTCATCTGCCGTGAACTGTCCCAACACTTGTGACCAGGATTGTAGATATCAATAGAGATGACTCAAGGGCATTGAGATAAGTCAACTCTATTGTCAAATTATCACAATTTTAGTTAAAACTTTGATTTTCCTTTTCCCCTGATGTTCTCAATTGTCAAAGAAGCACGTGACCAGAAAGTGCCAGGGTCTCTCCTCTCTCGCTCCGGATGGTCGGGAAGATGAAAGACCGTCGGAATGAGGTTGATTACAGTGTGGGGTATCGCTCAGGGTAGCCAGCGATCAGATTTCACTATTCTTATCTTATTATTTTAGCTGACTCCATCACTTTATATACATGGACGCAGTGGGACTGAATAACCCTGATTAAATTTGACTGTGTACTTGACAGTATTAAACCAAAAAAGTTGTAAATGTCTACTTTGCAGTCCTACGGTTTTAAAATGAACGAGGGTTATTGAATGTAATTGAATATGAGTAAACAAATAAAATAAATGGAACACTTCCGGCGTAATATATACAAGGGTTCCCGCATTTGCTTTTTCTTCGTTAATGTCCTTAAATTCCTTGGAAACGGCATCGCCGGTAATCTTAGTTCTCCTCTGAAAACTTCGATACAAAATTAAACATGACTGGATTTATGTACACGCAGCTCGGTCTCGCCAAAACCTCTTAAAAGTCTCAAAAGTTGGCGATATAAAAATTCAAAGGAACGTCAGTCTAGGATGGTGACAATAGCAATCATGGCGATAATTAGTTATTTCCTGGTTATACATTTCGTTGGTGATAAAAATCAACCTTTGGACTGAAACCTTTGGTCAGTTAATGCACGAACCTCACGTAATATCGTGAAATAATTTACCTCTCAATGTTGCTTCCATTTTGCAAAATACAAACTTGTCGAAAATTTTGCCGATAATCCGAACGATAATCCTAACTTAAGATTTACATAAACACATTTCATTTGTACTGAAGACTTTCTCACAGTTTATCAGCTGACCATCAAAAGTCTTTTATCAAGAACAACGGTAACGTTACGAGAGGTACAACGACCATGATCCCTAAGCGTGCCATTTTGCATGTTTGGGAATAGTCATGTTAGAATGATTGCCTAGTTCCATTTAAGGTGGCTCTATATAGTATTTCACAAAGCTTTGGATATTAAATATGCATAAGTAATTTCTCCCTT